CCCCAAAACCCCAAAACCCCAAAACCCCTTGATGAAAATTTGCGATTGCTAAAGAAATCAATTAAATAATTAGTTTAAAGAACACTTAGTAATATTTAGAATAAGGTTTTCAAAGAATATCATAAGTATGATGCCCGTATCCATATTTATTTTAAAGTCTTAGTAGATTTTTATCAAAGTCTTCATTCATTCTTGGTGGGCCACATACCCATATTTTTTGCAAGTTCTCATTATATTTATCTAGCTACTAGTCTAAGAATTTGAAGTCCCACCTTTCCTTAGTTTCATTACTCAGCCTCATATGGAATTCAAAGTTTTTCAGCTCAAATTTCTCTTGAATCTAAACTAGGCCTTCATAAAGTTCGAGTCCAATTACTTCTTCCCTCTTTGGGAAGGAAACATAAAGTACAAATTTAAAAGAATCACCATCAATCTAGTTATCTTCACTTGGCTTTAGTGATTTCATAGATTTTCTTAATAGGAATGCTACTAGATCAACAAATACCAGACAGCCTGTACCACCTGTAAATGCGATATGAGTTCCTGTCCTTTAAATGTCTAATCCAATACCCATTGGCCCTTAAACAGTCAAAACAATGTTTTTGCCATTAGAAGTATCCTCAAATATTCTAGTAGCAAGTCCATCAGGGGCCTTATAATCTTTTATAGTCATAACTACTTCACATCCATTTTTTTAGCAAGATTCTATCATATCTTGTTATGTTTCAAAATTCATAATAGAGTAGGCAGAATTATTCTATCCATCTTCACCCACTTCTATTTCATTAACTACTGGGAGGCCGTTTGTGACCAAATTTCTAAAAGACATTGAGACATTTGAAGAATCAGACAAACAATATGAAATGGCTTTTAAGTACCAGTTGTAAGTCTCTCCTTGCATACAATTTGAGATGGTATATTATCTTCTCACCTGAAATTGATCTAAACTGCTTAGTAAGTAATGCTTCCCAATATAAGATATATCTGGATAGTACTTTGAAATGCCAGGCACATTGGTGTGACTTCTGAATACAAAACATTTTGTATTAGAGTTGACAGGATATTTCCCGACAGCTTGAGCAATAAATTTGGGGGCTTTCGTGCTCATTCTTCCCATCATTAGTTCGTTTACAATTGCTCTTGCCACATTAGAGTGAAAATAAGGTTTTTGATTGCCATAATTTTCCATTTGGTATGCACCATAGAAAAACTTTGTGATATCTCTTCCAACATTTTGTGCTATTACAAACTTTCCACCAGGGTGATTGAATTGATATTTACTGACATTCAACACCATGTCATTCAGTAAAACAAGCTTCTCACCTCTCTTGATTCTATCATAAAACTCTTCACTGGACATTTCAATTTTTTTATCTATGAAAGGGACATAGTCTTCTCGGTGACGCCTGAAATAAAACTCCATTGCTCCCCAAATTCCAAAGAACACTATAATATCTAAAATGCCTAATAATGATCTCAATGCACTCGGACTCTGATGATTATACTCAAAGACACCAGATATCATTGCTAATTGACTTAAAACTATTAGAATATATCCACTAATTCTTTTGATTTTTTTTAGTCTTGCTACTTTCGCTGACTGCCATTATACAGTATTTTAGTACCATAGGACATAGAAACCAAATATAGAAACTAAAAAAACATAGCCCATTATAGCAAAACCTAGAATAACGTGCCATGTTATAAAAAATCCATCAATCATTCCTACAAATCCAATGATCAATGTCTCAAGACAAATTATTGTGCCACAAACAGCATGAAGCCAATTGTTTAACCACCAATATCTACGGAGATATCTGTAGCTAGCTACCTAGACTAAACCTAGTACTGTCCATGCCATAAACTACAGCCATCCTGCGATAAGAGCAATATCCAAAATAGGAATTAATTCAAATTCAATCTAGCCTTGCTAGTTCATTCTCATTTTCATTCTTCCTTTGTTATCCATGTAATGTCTTTAAAGATCTGCGGATGTATCGATAAAAGCCCAAATCATATTTATTTCTTTAAACTCCTATAATTATAATGCTAAATGAAATTGAAATAATATTAAAATTTAGTTAAATATTGAATTGGCTAATAATACAGATATGTTTACCAATGAATCACTGATATATATATTGATACGAATTAAGAATTTTAAAAAAGTAATACTTACATGATCGATTTCATAATCGTACTTGTCTCCTGTATCTAGTCTACGGATACTTCTAAAGAAAGCTCTTTGTGCTTAGTCATATTTAATCTGAGTATTATAGTCATTTATGATGTCAATTGAGGGTTTTCTCCTTCCTGTAGACCACATATCTTAACAAGCACTCTAAACTCCTTTAGATTGCCACATCACCATATCGCTATCAGTCATGTAATTTCCAAATCCAATGGCAAGTAGATGATTATTTGGGACTGAAACTTCAAAAGCGATATGAGTATTATTTAGAACATACGCATCCAAGGTACTGCTATCTCTGAATATCACACTTCTCCCCAATTTTAACAAAAGAAGGATGTGAACTAAAACATATGTTCTATATACTGGTTCTTTAGTTATGTTTATCATTTTTGTTAACTTCTTAGATATAATTGAAATAATAAGGCAAATTAAAATAAATGTAATATCCTGACTTTACAAGTTATTATCAATTCATATTTTACTATCGATAACCAAGAGGATTTACACCATGGGGTTTTGGGGTTTTGGGGTTTTGGGGAG